TATATATATATATATATATATATATATATATATATATATATATATATATATATATATTTAAAATAGTGAAGTTTTTTTTATTGCTTTAGTTGATATGTATATTTTTATGTTGTATGGACAATAAACTATATATGTAATGCTTTCTAGTTTTTATTTTCTATTCATCGTTCAATATATATTTTATTGCTAATTCAGATTCGCATCACGTAAAGTCCATTTAAGAAAAAAAAAAGGCTTCTTAACAGTATTTTTTTGGTACTTAAAACTCAAACTCAAGATTATTTAAAAAAAAAAACTATATATGAATCACTATATTTTATGGATTAACAAGATTTAACAAACTGTTTGAAAGCAGAACATTTGAAAATCTTAAATGGCCAAACCTTAATAAAAATATTTATTTATACAGAGTGTGATTATCTTTATTCTAAAAAGGGAAAATTACGCATCAAAGTAAACTTATACTATTTAATTACTCATCATAGCTATAGTTTGCTATAATTATCACTCGCGACTAACATTAGTCATTAATTACGTGGGCTGACTACGAATTTGTATAATTAGTCATGTTTGTATATGTATAATTCGCCAAAGTATACAAATACATATGTATAATATACAATTGTTTAACATGTATACATATACAAATTACCTCTCTGCCCTCTCTCCTCCCTCTCCCAATCTCGCTTTCCCTATATACAAATGTATATGTATAATATATAATTATATACATATACATTTCACGTCTCTCCCACTTTCTGCCCTCTCTCTCTCGCCTCTCTCCTCCCTCTCTCGATATCGCTCATCTCTCTCCTCCCTCTCTCGATATCGCTCATCTCTCTCCTTCCTCTCCCAGTATATCTCGTCTCTCTCCTTCCTCTCCCGATCTCTCTTGCCATATATACAAATACATATGTATAATATACAATTATCTAACCAATATACATAAACAATTTACCTTTCTCCTACTTTTTCCACCTTTCTCTCACCTCTCTCCCAGTCTCGATTGCATCTCTCCTTCATATAACATGTAGCTAAAAATTGTAATTATCAAACTATATCTATAGAGAATAATTAATTATTTTTAAGTGGCTATATGTGAAAGTTTCCCAAATATGTTTATTTCATTCTTTTACCAAATGATTATATTACTGGACCGAAAACCATCCTGATATGGGCTGATTGTCACTTGCTAATTTTTGGCCCAATTAGATGCTTAAAATACATAAAATATACACAAAAGTGTCACATAAGATACTGATTTGTAATATGAGTGACATGGACCATTTTCTATAATAGCATTCACTACAAGACATTCAAAAGAAATTATTTTTGAATATACCCAAATTGCCCCTTGGTCGGCAAGCAACCATGTCGACGAAGAGTTGCTTGTGTAGCCTCTTATATATATATATATATTAGTAAATAATAGATATTTACTGTATATATATATGTGATACAATTCTTAACTATATATTATGATAAATAGAAGATACTGAATGTAAAATCCTTTCTTCAAAAGAAAAGTAAAACGTCACAACTCATGAAAAAAATCATTCGTCAATAATCAAAAGTCATCATTTTTTAACTTATTAAAATATTGATTCTTCTCCTTTCACACTACTATCAGATTTTTATCCGACGTTTATAATGAAAATCACTTCGAAATTCTTGAAGAATAATTATCCTTAGGCAAATGAGTGGCTCAGAGTGTACTTATAATATGAACAAAATTTTCTATGTTCATAAAGGCCCATTGGAAAAACAAAAAAAGTCATAGGATTTAATTAGTCAAAATTCATACTATATGGAAAATAAAAGAAGACTATTATTAGTAAAATAAATATAAAAGTACATCAAATAAAAATTTAAATAAAAACTTCTATTCTCACTTGACTAAAATTTCATACTGTTACATTTGTAGACTTTGACCACTACTTAAAAGGCAAAAAAATTGTATCAAGAGTGTTACTCTTTTTTAGAAAAAAATTCATATTTTTTTTCTACGCGTTATTTATTGATTGATTAATTTATATTCTATCGTATAAAGCTTATTAAAAAGAAAAATGTTCATTGTAAAAGGTTTATTTATTCTTAAATTTTAAAATTTCTAATCAAGAATAGTAAAATTTGATATTCGTTTGATGATATTCAAGATTCGTCACCTCAGAAGAATTGTTATCTTATATTATTTTCTTCTTTTGGTATGATTTTTTTCATTTCCTTTTTATAACACTTTTTTAACTTAATGTTATACTATTCTCTAAGCTGGTCGAAAATAATTTGTGCATGAAATTTTTAATTTTTTTGAAATAAAATTTATATAAACTTGAACCAAGTATAATTTTATCGAATCAATTTATCATTCAATTGCAATTATTTTTTGTCATCGATTTTCTACATCCTATACAAAATGAAACCACCTAACAACATTTTTTCAAGTTACTATTCCTACTTTATAGTTATCTTTTTTATGATCTGATAGCAAAAAATATTTTCTACGTTATTTCTTAAATCTTCAATCTTTTAGTTATATGATAATAATTTTATTGGTGACCTCAAAGCTTCTCTTTCAGAGTGTACTTTCTAAGTTGGGAAACTTACATAAATATAGTATAATAAAAAAAATGTTTATCATTTATAGCAATAATATTATTTTTTTCATTTGATCATTTTTAATTCATTTATAATACAAACAATTTATTATTCATCTATAATACAAGTTTTAATGATGGATAATACATTTATCACACATTTTAATACACTTATAACACAATGTGACAATTTTTTACCAAACAAACATAATATGTTTCAAAAACAATTATAATTCAAATATACTGAATACAGAATTCACTTTTAATACATAGTACAGATTTATTACAATATTGCTCTAAATGATAATAAATAAAAAATATAGCTAAAATCAGTAATTATTTTTTAAAATATATTAATTTATGTTAAATTTTTCCTTCTAAGTTTTTGTATACGTAAAAAAATATATTTCTATCTAATATTTTCTAAGTTCTTGTATAAATCAAAAAAATATTTCATTTTTCTATTTAAAATTTAGTTTCCAATTAAATATTGTAATATAAAATAAAATTTTGAATAATGAGTTCTAATTTCTAACTACCAAGTCTACTTTATTAGTCAACTCATAGAATCAATTATTTAATATTTCTAAAGTTCTTAATATAATAATCCCACTTGTAACTTAACAATTAACTTAGAAAAACAAATATAAACAACTTTTTTCCTAAAAAAATTCACAAAACAAACAATGTTAATTGATCAAAATTTTCACTCATCTTCTTCCTCATCAAGTGAATATTCATCACTTTTTCTCAATGGTGCAAAAACAACACATGAAAATCAAACATTAACACGATTCCCGAAAATAGAAGGCGAAGACGATGTAATAAGACAAGCATATCTTGCTGTCATATCATCGTCCTCGCCTTCTTCATCATCTCGTGGACACATTCAAGAGAATTTGACACGAGATCATCGATTAGTAACACGAAATATGACAGCATTTACGAGGTTTAGATCACCCAATAATTATGCATCAATAGGTGCAACAAGATCATGTAGTCAAAATATGTTGAAAAGGTCTATTACATTTTTCAAGAACTTGTATACGATTAATAGACAAGAAGGTACTCAAGTGAATCGCGCGATGAGTACACAAGTTCATCACATGATCTCAGAGAGAAGAAGACGCGAAAAGCTTAACGAGAACTTTCAACATCTAAGATCTTTGCTCCCTCCTGAAACTAAGGTATGTTTTTTTTAAGTTTCGATCAGTAGAAGGGACGACTCTGTCTCCCCGAAAGTACCTAGAAGGTAGTGTGTTACATTGGAAGTCATGTCCACTAATAACCACCACAATTATAGTCTTTTTTTTTAGTAGACTTAGATACAAATATCCATCAAAAAATAAATGTCATCATCTAAAAATTTATATTTTTCTTTTTATTATATTGTATTTTCAATACTTTTTATTACATCAAACTTGATTCTTAAAAAGGCCTACCACATAAAAAGTATGAAAATTGAAATCATAACATTTATCTGTTCTAATACCATATTGTTTATGTTACTGATCGTTCTATCTAAAAAGCTTTAGTTATTAATTAGAAAGAACACTCGTTTATTTACTTAACCATATCTTTAACACACTACTCACACGCGAACATGATTTTTGGAGAAAAAAAACAAGCACGTGTAAATTCTAAAAATTGAACTCATGACCTTGCTTTAATATTATATCGTATTATGTGACTTTTTGGTCTAAAAACTTAAGTTATTATCGAAAATGCATATTTATTTACTTAATTATATCGTCGAACATTTCAGAAGGACAAAGCATCAGTTCTTGCTAGTACTACAGAGTACTTAAGTTCATTGAAAGATCAAATGGAAAAATTATATAAAAGGAATGAAATTTTGGAAGCACAACTTTTGATTAAGAAAGAAAATTCTCAATTTCAACAAAATGAAAGTGGAAGAATAGATGTTTACATAACAAATATAGAAGAAAAAATTGTGGATTTGCAAGTTATAGCCAAAGGAAAATACAACACATTAGATTTGGTTATTTGTTTAATGGAGTTCTTGAAAGTGGCTAGTTATGTAAACTTGATGGCTATTGATGCAAACACAACAATGGTTCATTCATGTCCACTTACTCGAATAACCTTAAGACTGAGAACTCAGGTACTTTTCTTGTTTCCCCCGCTCGGTGTTTGATATCTGTATCGGTGATTAAGTTTGATTTGCATCGAAAAATCTCACTTGAACAAAAACGAATATATACTCATAACTCAAAATCGAGATTTTTGATTAATTTACGACAACTTTTTTTCCCTTCTTCTCTAACTATAGTTGATTTAAGTAGTTTTACTACACTAAAATCATTTTAATTATTAACACAAAGATTTAAGTTGTACACTATAAAAATTTTTATGCAAGGAGTAAAATTTTATTATTAACTTAATTTATTTTATTTTATTTATTTATTTATTTATTTATTTATTTTGTGACTTTTTCTTGCTATAGGGTGATGAATGGGATGAGTCTACTTTCCTGGAAGCAACAAAAAAGGTTATTGGGGACGTGACATAATTAATTGATATTTTATTTTTAAAAAAAATTATAATCAATGTTCATTGAGCAGAGACGAGTTCAGGATTTATCGTCACTAAGTTTATAACAAATATATGATTCAAGAATTTATTATTAGTAAGTTCATGATGAATATATAATTCGAATCAGAAGCAATGTGTTTAAATGAATTCTCGAAAAAGCGAAAAATGATTGTATTCATATATGGTGAAATGAAAGAATATTCAATGTGTTGCCAATCTTGACTAAAAAATTACAAATTTGTGGATCAAAATTACTCATTCAATATATTGCATATAGTCTAAAGTCAATATCTAATTAATTAATTATTCTTTTAAAATCTTAAACCACCTAATCTACCTAAATTTAGATTAATTAGTGTCTAGTTTATTGTTAACATCAAATCATATTAATTATAATTAACTAATAATCTTAGATCAGAATATCAATAATTTATTAGCCATTATTAGGTACATAATTAAGAAATTGTAGGATTAGCTCACCAAAACCTAATATAAGAATGTCTTATACGCATTACGAAAACAAAATTTCAAGATTATCTCAATTTTTTTAATTTTTCAAAATACTTTTTGTTGACTCTGTTTGACCCCAAATTGCCAAACAAAAGAATGTCATATATTATGAAACTAACAAAAAAAAAAAAGCATTGTATCAAAAATTAAACAAAATATATAGTATTTAACTTATATACGCGATATAATTTTATTTGTAATAGCGACCTAGTGGATCATTTGAAGAACAAAAAGCCTTGAGAAATAAGAAATCACTAGAAAAGTGGACAAACTCTGCATATCCCATCATGTAATCTCACAAGTAGAATCGAAATCTGAGAAGGATAGTGTAGAGTCAACCTTACTCATACCTTTTATGAAGGTAAAAGAAATTGTTCTCAATACGACTAAAGAAGCATAGGACAAACACCGTATACCCTATTGAATCTCACGAATGAGATCGGGATCTGAGAAGGATATAGTGTGTAAAGTCAATTTAACTTCATACCTTGTGTAAAGAAGTTTTCAATACGATTCAAGAAGCTTAGGACAATCTCCGCATACCCCATGTAATACAACAAGTGGAAACGAGCTCTAAAAAGTTTTAGTTTTTAGAGTCAACCTTACAAACACCTTATGAAACACAGGAAGGAGAAAAATATCTTGCAACTAAAGCTATATTTGAGATTTTTGAATCTCCAACCAATTCAATAAGAGTACAAACAAGTCTCATCACACTTCCAAATCCTATCTACTACTACTACTACTACACCAGGAATATAAAAGGGCAAACTGCAAAAGGCAAAGAATGTAAACCAGAAAACATATATAATGCAAAATGACTAAAAAGATTGTTCTAGCATACTCGACGAACAACAAGCAAACAAAATTGCAGGATCTCCTCTGTCATCCATATTTTCAAGACAAATATCATGAAGCCAGCTCGAAACGAATGACTACTGTTGCTTGCACTCCGGTGGCCTCTCACCAGCCGGACCATCTGCTGCATGTGCCCTACCAATCTTCTGTGACATGAATATAAACAACTCAGTATGTCTAGTATTGTGAAAGCGAAAGCACATGAAAGAACTTGTTTTGAAGAAACATGAGCAAGTGATTCATACCTTGCGAGCAGCAGATGATGACTGTAGTAACATTTGAAACAAGGGGGAAAACGTTAGCATTCATGACCATCTCTCCAAATAATTATTTAGCCACTAATCAAGGAAGTAAGTACCTTTTTCTTGGTACTGCTATCATCTTCATCCTCATCATCCTCATCATCTTCATCATCATCCTCGTCCTCGTCCTCTTCATCATCCACTTCGTCATCATCTTCATCATCCTCATCTTCCAAGTCAGCAAAATCATCTTCGGCAGCTTCCCCAGTGAACCAAGAAACTGCATGAGGAATAATCTTATCTCGGATAGTTGATCTGCATAGAGAATCAGGATATGAATCTCAGCAACTAAATGGGGAGTTTAAAAATTGAGCAGTACAGATATCATCAGCATCATCTTCCTTCAGTAATTATTTTGTATAATCTTCCTTTAGTAATTTATATTCTGGATGGTATAATACATTTTGAATGGAAGATTTTATCATGGTCATGCAAATTGATATTTTCTTATCAACTTACCCAATATCATAGTCTTGTTCCATCAAACCTTGAAGTTCTTCAGCCTGTCAAAGAAGAAAGAGAGAAAATATTATTCAGATTGAACCTCAAAAGAAAATAAAACCATTGACAGCATCTTCATCAATAACCTCAAGAAAATTGACACAGAAGAAAATGAAAATACTTACAGCATCTTCATCGATATCCTCTTCGTCTTCTGGAACTTGAGGTGGACTAAAGAAGTTGAAGAAACTTTCGCATTGTTCTGTTTTCATAATAGGTTTAGCATTCTTTGAGCCCTTCTTTGGCTTCTTCTTGAGAATCTTTTGTGTCAAACATTTTCCTGGATACCATTCTATCTCGGTCCTACAGATTGTCAGCAATGAGAAGTCATTAAGGAGAAAACAGACTGATATATCAAATCAAAAAACTTGGAAGCAGTTTAATATGTCACATACCCTATGGCCTTCTCCAGAATTGGTTCATCTTCATCAATCATGTGATATGTTTTAGTCAGCACAGTATTCTTGAAGTACGGATTGGTGTCAAAGAAAAATTCAAGTTTAAATCCCTTGGGATTCTCAATCCTTGTCCACTTTATATCCTTGAGAAATTTGAGGGCGCCTTCATCTCGCTCGGAAATCTGTTCTTAAAAGAATTCGATCAGATTACAGTTGGTGGACTTGCAGGATACAAGAAAATTAAAATAACATGGAGCATTTGATGATAAACAACTAACCTCCTCAGCTAGCACTTCATTATTCTTCATTGCAGTGAACCAGAAATCTGGGACTCCTTTCCCTATCAACAGCCAATGTCAAGAATACTAATCACAAATAAGAAAGAATAAACCCTAGCTTGACACTCCCTTTTGAAACTTGTGGTTCGGAACAGATTGTAGATATTTGTGTGGCTACAAATCATTTCATCAAGAATAAAAGGGTAATTTCAACGTTTATTTTTCTCTAATTATGGAAAGACAACATTCTTCTTTGGACAGACTAAACAGAGAAGAAGGCCATATAAATTGGGACAAAGGTGAGTATTTAACATACCCTCTGCATCTTTATCCTCTTCCTGGTCTGCTGCTGCCTCTGTCACTGCACCATCAACTTCAACAACTCCATTCACAATATCAAACCTCTGCAGATATTTAGATTTTGAGATAAAGGTGAATATAATCAAGGGATGCAAGGTATAAAGACAAGTGAAGCGGCCTCGCAGACCTTAGTATATAGAGGCTGATACAACTTTTGGTATTTGGCTTCAAGTGCAGCTCTCTCTTCAAAAAATTTTGCCTCCAACTCATCATGCTGAGACTGAATTAAGATAAAAGAGAAACAGAATTCAACATCCAAGGTTGCAAAGACAGAACAATTAGATCAAACAGCAAGAAACCTGAGAAAGAAAGACATAGGCAACTACCCAGATATATAAAATTAACTCAAAAGAAGTTTAACTAGTGTGGCAACTAATGCACATAGTATTTTGCATATCAAGGAGATAGTTTCCTAAATAACTTACATGATGTGACTACCCATCAATATATACACTATGAATCAGTAAGATACTTGAGGGTTGTTTGGCTCGCGGACTAAATTATCACGGTATAATTTTTGGACAAAAATTTATTAATCCCAACTAAAACAGTATATGGTGGGATATCCAAGATTAAATTTGGGATAAAATTTATAATGTGTTATCAATGTTTGGTTGACAAGTATAAATTTCACACGGGATAAATCTATCACAAGCTTATCTTGGAATGTCCCACCTAATCCCGCGTACCAAACGGCCCCTTTAGATGGCAAAATAATATCACCCCGTCACGTTCAGAAGCAAAATTTATGTTTCACTCCACAACTCAAAGAACAGAGGAATATGTTGATATAACAGAACCACAAAAAAATGAAAGATCGAAGAACAGAAATCATGAGAAAATCCAAGATCTTTCGTGTTCTATCAGCTTAATAATAATAGAAAGATAGTTCAACTTGGTACTATTTTATTGATGCTAATTCAAATAAAAGAAATAGTCAGCCTGTTTCGTCTACATACACAACCCCTGAATGTCAAACAGTATGTGGTAAAATTCTTACTAAACATCTCTCCAGTAAAAATAGGTTCTTAACAAGGGCCATCACAAGTTCATACTATCATTTCTGCGTTCACTGCATCTTTAAATTATTTCTAATCAGATGCCACCAAGCACCTAAAATACTCTCACCAACTTCCCAAATGTCGCAATCATCCTTACAAGTTGTTTGGGTGTAGATGAATCATGACTCCAAAGTTACTAGTAAAAGAGAACTTAGAAACAACACATGTAAGAAATGCCTCATATCCAAAGTCAGTTGGAGTGGAGAATACAAATCACCTATATCTATTCCATTTTGGTCCATTTCATTCAAATACTCCATTCGTAACTTATAAGACAAACAAAGGATTCTTTAGAATTAGGGAATCTTTGAACTTAATTTGTATCCTAAAAGAACATAATTTAAGTCTACAAAACAACAACTAATATTAGACATGGCATACAAATATTAGAGATGATTAGCCAAAAGACAACAACAATAACATATGCAGTGTATTCTCACAGGTAGACCGCACGTAGACCTTACGCATACCTCGTGGAGATAGAGATTGTTTTCGAAAGACCCTCGGCTCAAATAACACATAGCAAGACAGTTTGAAAAATACAAGGCAAAAGTAAAACAACATAGCAAATGGATACAGCAAATAAATCAGCTAAAAGACACCAACTATACACATTCAAGTAACAGTATTGTATAGGCTAAACATGCCTGAATCTCTCTCAGAACTTCAACACGCTTTCTGACATTGGGCGAGAGATTTTCAAGCAAGTTTGTGTGCTTCCCAGTAAGGTCTTGAAGTTTGTTCTGCAACACAGAAACATAATCATTACTTAAATCAAACAAAACAACCACACAAACATGTAATAAGGAAGGAAGGAAACAAACTCACTTTGAGAACATTAACAAGGTCTGCTCTGTCCCCAGCATTCAGAGCTACAAAATAATTTCAATTAGAAAAACTCAAATGATACCACCTCAACATACCAAGTGTAATCCCCACAAGTGAGGTTTGGAGAGTGTGGTCAGTACACAGCCTTACCCCTACCTTGTCACAGTAGAGAGGTTGTTTCCACTACACCCTCGGCTCAACTAACACATATTGACAATCAAGTATGTAAAGCAAATACTAAAGCAAACAATGGAGGAGAGTAGCGTAGCAGACAACAAGTAATATGATAATTGAAGCAAAGAAAACTAAGAAACAACAGTAAAACTAAAATTAAAGAATAAGCTAGTATGGGAGTAATGATAACAGTATCTAATAAAAACTCAACCAAATAACACCAAAAAAAGAAACCAACTAAAGATCAAACAACTAAAAAGACTAAAACCCCATCAAAGATTTCTGCTTTTAAGAAACAAAACTTCACAAGATAACACAGAAGTAAGTAAAAGAATTAGTCTTTTTAGATAAAGTTTAATTCCCTGTGCATTAGAGGTCATTTGGTAGCTAGTTAGAATTATACAGGTATTAATTACTCTTATCTTCTACCCCACATACAATAATACACCAATTCACTCCTAACATAAACACATACTAGTTACATAGATTTCTAAAATACAAACCAAACTTCATATTACTTAGGTACATGAATAACTTACTTCCTAACTAGCTACGAAACATACGAGACATTCATTAAGATGCTTGTTTACTAACTACCAAAAGATTCATCTTTTAATGAAACCCACAACTTTTCACTAACAAACACACATAAAAGTAAGCTTATAAAGTGGTTTGTGGGTAGGGTTTACCTCTTTCACACATCAAAAGTTCACTTTTTTAACACAAACCCAGAATTTTTTACTAGCAGATATACATATAACACTAAAAACCCATCAAAAATCTCAACTTTTAATGAAACACAGAAAGTTCAAACTTTCAAAAAAAACATAAAACTGAAGAAAACAAAAGCAGCAAAATCTAATGGATGGGAGTTTACCAGCACTGAGATCGGCAACATTGAAGTTATCTTTAGGGTTGCTCATTATACCAAGAGAAAATTGGAAGATAAAAATGCCCTAAAAATAAAAACCTAAAACAGAGGATGAACAATAAGGGAAGAGAGAGAGAAAATGGGTGTATTTAAGCTATCAAAATTCCCCCCTTTTTCACTTTCTCTCTCTAAAAAAAGAGAAAACCTAGCAGCAGCTGTATCTGACTGTCAGCAAGACCGTGTTTGGATTCAAAGGAGATCATGCCCGGTTGTAAGTGGGGTAGGGAAATTGGGGGGGGGAGGGGGAATTTTGAAATGCGTGTGAAAAATTAAGTTGGCGTTTGATTATGTTTCATAGTAAAATTTGAAAAAAATAATATTTCTTGTGTTCTCAGAGTATGAGGTACTTTTCGAATTTTGAAATACAAACGAGTTTAATTGTGACGGTAAATTTTTTATATATATTTTAATTATTTTGAACCGTCAATTATTATGATTTATAGTACTTTTTATGTAGTTTACAAAATAAATTTCAGTTTGAAATTTGAAGATTTCACACGCAAATTATTAACCAAATTTAAATTGTTTGACTTTCGAAAAACAAAAATTATCGTATAAATTGAGACAAAAGGAATAGATTTTATTTTCTAACATGGAAAATGAATTTGTGTTTGATCATCATCAGTATAAATTAGAGTTCTTTCTAATTTTTCATGAGTAATTTAAAGTGAAACTACATTTTTTGTTATTTTTTAAATCTTGAAAATTTATGGTTAAATATATTTTTCAAAGTAAAAAAAAAAAAGATCAAATTCCCGCTAAATTAATTAATTTAAAGTAAGTATTTTGTCATACTTATACTTAACTAGATGGGAAGATATAACTACATGTTTAAGAGCATCTTTCTTTTATTTTTATTTTTGAAAACTTCATTAAGTTTCAAAACAAATATAAATATTTTAAGTCGAAAGGAAATGAATATTCAAAATTTAGAATCGAATTACTAAATAAATACTTGAATATTAATCAAAGTTCATAATAGTTTTTGTTTCTAAATATTTAAAGTGACTTATAGTATTTTTTTCATACGGTGTTTACTTTGTAAAATTTATATTTCAAAAAGGTTGAAGATTTAAGTCACAATTTATACTCTATTAGGAATTTGTCAATCCATATTAGATTCACTTTCACTTATTCAAATACCTAGTTTTATACAAATGTAACCTAATGAGCTAGGTTGTTTCTGATAGACGAACCTTTTATATATCATCAAAAACACAACTCAAATAATGAAAAGAATATACTTATCTTTCACAGTGCGTAATGAAAAGAACACTTATCTTTCACACTGCGTAATGAAAAGAACACTTATCTTTCACACTGCGGAGATTTATGCAGACCTTACCCCTACCTCTGTAGAACAGGTAGAGAGGTTGTTTTCGATAGATTAATTTTTCTTACCGCAAATATGGAAAGAAGGGGGGGAAATTGGGATAGCTCAAACACAAATTTATATACAACAAAAAGTAAACTCATTGTGAATGAAAGAGTAACAAAAACAATTAGGACTCTATGAAAATCAATCTCTCTTGTTGGTCAATCCATTTTTCCTTCTTTGAACAACACTGTTAGTATCATTTCTTTGGATGAATTGAGTGAAATAGTGCCTCGATTTCTTCCTTGGCTCGTTCGAGTATATTTGGACCTTTAACGTCACTTACTGGTGTTTTATCATCAATGTCATCACTCCTTCCGTGAGTTTCTTTGTGATGACGATGAGGAGATTTTTGTGTTCCTGTTGATTCCTCGACCTTCTCGTTCTGATTAGTAGGCACCTTTGGTTTGTTCTCTGCGTAAACAGAAGCATAGTATGATCAGACGATGAATATGTACTTGAACTTCTAGCAGAAAGTGTGATGTGAAAGATGAAAATTGTGTAATTGTGTAGAGCATGCATAGAGGATAAAGAAAACGAAGAGTTCTACGCCTGGTTCGATAACTTTTGTTATTAGTATCAGATACTAAAAAGGGGCAGCCTGGTACACTAATCTCCCGCAATGTGTAGGGTCCGATGAAGAGCCAGACCATAAGGGTACTATACGCAACATTACCTTGCATTTCTATAAGAGATTCCACAGCTCGAACTTGTGACCTCCAGCAGGTCACATGACAACAACTTTACCAGTTACGATGGTAAGGCTATGCAATCACTTAGCCGTATACAAACAGAAAGGTGTGGTACAGAGACACGTTAGCTGAGGATTAGGCTATAAGGAACGGAGTCTATCAAAAGAAGACCTTCACCAATCCTATACGGAGATTAAAACAACTCTGTGTTTGTAATTGGTGTAGTTTTCCCTTTGACTATGGATATTCACCTACATAATTGTGTCTCCATGTTCATAACCACCGTTGTAACTTTTTTTCCACAAGAAGACGTCTTAACGCCTTCAGATTAAAGCCAAAACTTAATCTTCAATGAATTTTACGGTCTAGATCAGAAAAGTCACAAACGTTCAATAAGATTGTACATAGTTTAGATGAGCATTTGATTCATATTCGAATCATACACCACTAATTGAATACTTCTGAGGCATCAAATGTTATCAGTTTAAAGGCTCACACCGAGAACGGGTTGAACAAATGACGTCTAAGGATACAAGAAGGTAGAGTCACTCTATAGTCTATATGGACTTCGAGACTTTATCCAACAAAACTCTACTGCAAGATAGCAGCAGATAAAAATTGCATAACCTCGCCGTGGAATTAGCTGAGGTGCGTGCAAGCAGGCCCCAACACCACGGGAAGTTCTACATTGGAGGGTCTGTAACAGTTAACTTAAAAGTTAAGTTTCAGCACTTATAGTTCGGAATTTCAAGGATAATTGTACTCTCCATATGAAGAAATTTCGAAATTAAGCAATTTCTATCCTTGACAGTAAATCGTTCTCCCTCGTTAATATAAGGTCAACAAAAACCAGAAGTTAGACAAACTGTTCTACAGAACATTTTCCATCAAGGCAGATGAAGCCTAAATGGAAATTTTACTTTTGCAGAACTTATCACTCGATATTGATGGTGCTAGTGTTCCTCGCCAGTCTGTTAAGCTTATGTCCCCGTTTTCACGTGATGTACGTAGACTTTCAAATACTCCTACTGATGTGCTTGAACTTGTTTTTTTTTTCCGACATAAATAGAAACGAAAGAAAATTTGCAAACTTTTCACCTGAAGTATAATCATTTTGAAGAAAGGATGTAAAAGCAAGGTGAAAAAACACACACAAGTCACAACTTAAATGTCTAACGAGGCAGAGTCGTATGACACTGTTTATTGATCACTTGTTAAACTGATTATAATCACGAACCTTGGAAGTTAGAACAATTCGTTAAAGATAAATCGTAGAGTTCAAACCTGAAAGTGAATCTGGATTATGTTTCAACTCAGCTGTTATACCATTAGTCCTGCAGATCATCAACAAAGTAATGCAAATTTAACTACATAATAACATCCTCATAAACACTCGTTCTCTATCGTTTATAAAAGAAAACGTTCTTAAAACCTGTTGTTGCCGTCTGCAGCTGAAGCATGACTATGATCTTCTTTTTTCGGATGAATTGCCTGAACAAGAGCCTCGATTTCTTCCTTCGCTCTCTCAAACACGTTGGGTGCTTTCACATCAGTAACTGGAGTGTTCTCGTCAATATCCTTACGCAACCCGTGAGTTTCCTTGTGATGGTGATGTGAGTGTCTTTCACTATGCAACACTGCCTCAAACTCTTCTTTAACTCTCTCAAACACATTAGGCGCCTTTACATCTTTATCTGCCACAATTAGAGTACCAAAATCAATCGATGATTGAACGTAAATCTTAGACATCTACCAAACCGCCAAATGAAGGGAATTGTGAAAGAACTCAAGCATTCAACGCAAAATCTTAAAACAATTACTCGAGTGACCTAGATGGGATTTATTTGGCTCATGAAAGAATCTAAACTTCAACACAAACACATATGACAATGGATAGAGCAATTCAATTTATAAAGCTCTTAAAACAGCAACATTCCCAGTGTAATCTCACTAGCGGAGTCTAGGAAGGATGGTGTGTACGCACCCTTACCCCTGCCTTGAGAAGGTAGAGAGGTTGTTCCCGATAGACTCTCGACTAAAGTAGAGCACATCAAAAATCAAGTACGTAAAGCAAATACAGTAGTGAAAAATCCAAACCGAAAACAATGGATAAGAGAACTAACAACAACAAGTATAATAACCGAAACCAAGGAGATAATAAGATTGAAGAACAAGATAAAAGGAGAGTAGTAAAAGCAATATCTATACGGAAATTAGGCAACGCTCGACTACCTACGAATGTTGGATATTATGAGCCTAGTTGACTCAACTGATTGAAAGTACTCTCAACTGATAAGCATCCAATAAACAGTCAAGTGTTCGGCTAGCAGTGGCGGAACCACAATAGTTGTGTCAATTCTTCACTCCAAACTCGAAAAAGAGGTTAGTTTGAACCAGTTTTTCAAGGTTTAGAAAAAAATTCGCCAACACTTACGCATATTTTCAAGTGAAATGCATGTCCAAACACAACTCAGACTTCCAAATACCCTTTTTCAACTTAAATACTACTTTTTTTCCATACATCACTCGACTCATGTCCAAACGCCTGCTTAAAGTCCTGAATACGCCTCTTTTGGCTAGAAATGTTGAAACTAATAACAAGCAATTGATATGGTTTGTATCTAGCATGTTTCTTTCCTAATAAAGGGCGAGGGCAGTCCAGTGCACGAAACTCCCGCTACCAAGGAAGGCCCTAAACACAAAGTCTACTCTATGCCGTCTTATCCTGCATTTCTTCAAGAGGCATTCTTTTCGGTTAAAATGGTTGAAAACCGAAATGTCCTTAAAAGATAATTACACAAAGATTTTAGATCAGATTTTTGAAAAATTTATCTTTATATATCTGTTTGGCCATGAAATTTGATCGCATTTTGAAATTTTATCTTCGAAATATTAGCAAGTTCCAAAATCCATGTGAGACAAGTTTTCGGGAGAAATTTCACTTTCGATCACAAAACTTCAAATTTTTCTCAAATAAAATGCTTATCCAAACAAAACTTCAAAAACTCGTATTTTCAGATTTCAAGTTTCAACTTCAAAATTCACGGCTAAACTAGAGCCAAAAATGTGGTCATTATTGCAAAATATTCAAATACATATTAACTTAGTCTCAGGCATTAAA